TTTTTTTTTTTTTTTTAGTAGAGATGGGGTTTCACCATGTTGGCCAAGCTGGTCTCAAACTCCTGGCTTCAGGTGTTCCACCCACTTCGGCCTCCCAAAGGGCTAGGATTACAGGTGTGAGCCACTGTGCCTGGCCTCAATGTATTTTTAAGTGTATTTGTACCTATATATCTGTCTATATGCACATTTAAACACATATCCTTCTAACTCCCACTCAAATCAAGATATAAAAGATATCCAAAATTATAAAGAGTTCTTTTTTGCCCCTTCCCAAAGAAGCAGGGGTAAGTGCTAGTCTGACTTACTTAACAGAAAATAGCCTTGAACTGGTAGGATTTTTTTGACAGGAAGAAGTAAGGAAAAGAGCAATACGGATGTTTAAAAATGTGAAGGTGAGAATCTTAAAGATGAGTAGGTCTCTGGTACAGAAGTCTTAGTGGAGAGTTGGTACTGGAATCCCGGTCTAAGGTATTAGGTTTTAATTTGCTAGACAAAGAGAACTCAAGTTTTGCTGTCTAGGAGTGTTATGTAAGCTAGATTGGACTTTAGAGTCAGGAGACCATGTGGGAAGATACTGTGTGATGAAGGCCTGAAACATGTTGTTTACAGTGAGACTAGAAATGGGATAAATCCAGAGCTGTTTCACTGGTAGACTTGCCTGAATATCCTGTCTGACTGAGGATGGATCAGAAAGAAACGAAGGGGTGATGGGAAACAAGCCTAGATTGACTAGAGAAACCTAGAAATAGAAAAATTGGGAAGGCAAAGTGATTTGGATGATAATGCCATATATTCAGTTGTCCCTGGTGGCCAGATATTATAGTATAGATATTATACAGGCAAAGAAGAACAGAGGGCTAGAGTGTGAAGGTACAGATTTTGAGTTTAAGCACATTAGGGGGCTTAGTGTTCTGGATGAAGAAAACATATAGAAGTTATTGCATATTAGGTATTATTGTTTGCAAAAGAGTAGAAAATGGAGAAATAACCCAGTGGGTTAAAGAAGAAACAGACTAAATAAACAAACCTGAGTAAATTGTTCTTAAATTTTATTTTAGAGACAATTCCTTATTTTGCTTTAGTTTTCTGAATTATTGCCTCACTTTTCTGTTTCTTTCTGTGTCCGTATACATAGAAAAAGGAATTAATTTTAGATTCAAAACAAAAACTGGAAAAAAAAAGTCTGCAATGGGCAATACCTAGGACATAGTATGTATGTCTTATTAAGGCTCTATCCCTGATTTTTTAATGCAGTTATCTATTTTTCATGGATTCTTTGTTTATTCCCCATAAGGAACACCTACCTGGGTTTGGAGAGTGGGAAGGTGGATGAGAAAACCCAAGTGACAAATAATATTTAGTTTATTATTAGAACCAACTATGAGTTGTGACCCTTATCTTCTGCCCTGGGAATTATAGATTTTTTCTTTTTTTTTTTAATTTTTCACATTAGAAATGTGAAAATAGTTTATTGGTGTAGGAAAACATCTAGTTCCAAAATATAGATCACCCTGCTTGAGCCCCATGATGCATTATCTTAATTTTTAAAGCCTTTTTTGCCTCATACTGGAGTTTATTGTACCTCTTAAAAATAGTAAGTTACATACTTAACCTGACAAAAGCGAAAATCATTATAAAAATCTTTAGGCTGGGTGTAGTGGCTCATACTTGTAATCCTAGCACTTTGACAGGCCAAGGTGGGTGGATGGCTTAAAAACCCAGGAGTTGTAGACCAGCCTGGGCAACATAGTGGAACCCCTTTTCTACAAGAAATACAAAAAATTAGCCAGGCATGGTGGCTTGTACCTGTAATCCCAGCTACTCAAGAGGCTGAAGTGGGAGGATTGCTTTAGCCTGGGAGTTCAAAGCTGCAGTGAGCCATGATCGTGCCGCTGTACTCCAGCCTGGGCAACAGAGTGAGACCCCATCTCAAAAAATTATTAAATTAAAATCTTTAACAATAAATCTATTTTGAGTCGTATTTTGAGACATTCTTAATATAGTTTTCCAACTTGCATTAAAATACATTTTAAACATTTTTGAAGACTAAATTTCTTTTTTTTAAACTGACAGTTAATGTTTCATTTGACAACCTTTTGCTGTATATTTTTATGTGGACTTTTAGTTGTTGTAGTGATTTCTTTAATGAAGAAAGAAAATAATTTTCATTTAAAAATGCGTGTTATTATTACCTTAAGCTATAAAAATAA